GTGTCAAGTCAATTTCTACTCACAGCAACCCTACAGGACAGAGCAGAACCGCCCCGTTGGGTTTCTTAGCCCGTAATCTTTACGGGGATAGACAGCCAGGTCTTTTCTCCCGTGGAGCTGCTGGGTGGATTCAAACTGCTGACCTTCTGGTTCGCAGCTGAGCAGTTAACCATTATGTCACCAGGGCTCCTTATGATAATGTAAAATTAACAAAATTGTTTGATTCTAATCTCAGGAAAACATTTAATGAACCCTTGCACATTTCTTTTCCTTTTCACTGCCTAAAATATCATTTTATTTATCTGTTTTTACACAACATTCATCAGTTTCTGAATCAAAATTGGTAAGAGACAATGCTTCATGATTTCACAGAAGAGTTACTTTCTGAAAAAAAAAAAAATCTTTTTCTTCTATTATTAGAGAAAAAGGTAATTACAAATTTCCCCTTTACAGATGACCACTGAGACTTCAGGTCAACCTTAGAGTTGAAGCCACATATTAAATTTATCTGAAGTTTACACTTGCAATAAATAGTAAGTACATCTGAAACACACAAGTGTCTTTTTTTTAAAAGTATGTGTTGATTTTCTTTTAATCTTAAGTGTGAGACCAGCCAAGAAATGTCTCTTGGAGCAGCAGTATACTCTCCTTGATTCCTTTTTTTCAATTAGTTCTTCTATTTGGTAGACAGTAACAGCATTTAATTTGAAATTTCCTCTTTCTGTGCCAATTACAGTTTGAACTCCTTCCTGTGAAGTCTTAAAGTCCACCGGCTTATGTGACACGCAAAACACTGTTACAGCAGCCAAGAGTAAGAAGAGGAAAAATATGTTTTTCTTTAGTATCAAGCACCTGGCAAGAAAAGAACATGTTCCTGTAAAGCCTTAAAGGCATTCCTGGCTCTCCCCTGAGAACCTAAACGTACTCGTTTTTATTTCCCTTTTAAAGGCCATGAAGCTGTATCATGTTTGCTTTCATTTACAGTTTACCAGATTTTTCCACATTGTTTCTTCTTCTTGCTGCTGCCGCTGCTGTTTGTTTCTGCTCACCAGTATGTCAGGGTGAGGGCTGCTTTACCAAAGGGGCAGTTGGAAGACAGAAAAGAAGTCACTTGCCCTGACTTCTAGCTTCGGAGAGGAGTAGTAACAATCTTGAACCAGTTAACCTAGTTGCCTTCGAGGTCGCATAGACTCCAACTCCTGGCGGCCCTACATGTATCAGGGTAGAACTGTGCTCCATAGGGTTTTCAATGGCTGATTTTTTTGGAAGTAGATTGTCAGGTCTTTCTTCCAAGGCACCTCTGGGTGGGCTCAAACCACCAACCTTTTGGTTGTTGTTGTTGTTAGGTGCCGTCAAGTCAGTTCTGACTCATAGCAACCCTATGTACAACAGAACGAAACACCGTCTGGTCCTGCGCCAACCTCACAATCGTTGTTATGCTTGAGTCCACTGTCACTACCACTGTCAATCCATCTCATTGAGGGCCTTCCTCTTTTTCGCTGACCCTCTATTTACCAAGCATGATGTCCTTCTCTAGGGCCTGATCCCTCCTGATAACATGTCCAAAGTATGTGAGATGTAGTCTCACCATCCTTGCCTCTAAGGAGCATTCTGGTTGTACTTCTTCCAAGACAGACTTGTTGGTTCTTTTAGCAGTCCATGGTATATACAATATTCTTCACCAACACCACAATTCAAAGGCGTCAGTTCTTCTCTGGTCTTCCTTATTCATCGTCCAGCTTTTGCATACAACCTTTCGGTTAGCAGCCAAAATCTTAACCATTTGCACCACTCAGAGACCCGCTAGCGTTGAGAAATTGATAGAAATCAGGCCCGCACCTATGGGCAACTCTACAGCTTAGACACAACTGGGAAACAATGAGACAGAGTATCCCTCCCACCCCCCATGTCTACCCTTATTACCATTTGCTTGTCCACAATCTAAACTGGCCAAATAGAATCCAGGAAAGGAAGCATGGCATCAGCTCCTTAGAAAAGAGATCCCATTAGATATGACACCAAAAGCACAAGGAACAGAAGAAAAAAATAAAGATTAATTGAACTTTATCAAAATTAAAATATTCTGTGTTGTAAACAACACCATCAATGAAGTGAAAAGACAACCACATAATGGGAGAAAATATTTGTAAATCATGCATTTGATAAGGGACTTGTATTCAGAATATATAAAGGATTCTTACAACTCAATAATAAAAAGACAATCAATCCAGTTTAAAAAATGGGGAGATGATCTGAAGAGACATTTCTCCAAAGAAAATAAACCGCTGGCCAATAAGCTGTTGAAAAGATGCTCAACATCATTTGCTACCAGGAAATCCAAATCTAAACCACAATGAGATACCACTGCACCCCCACCAGGATGTCAAAAAGACAGAATGTAACAAATTTTAGCGAGGATATGGAGAAACTGGAATCCTTATACACTGCTGGTGAAAATGTAAAATGGTATAGTTGCTTTGGAAAACTGTCTGGCAGTTCCTTAAGAGGTTAAATATAGAGTTACACATGACCTAGCAATTCTACTCCTAGATATACACCCAAGAGAAATGAAAACATACATCCATACAAAACCTTGCACACCAATGTTCATAGTAGCATTATTCATAACAGCCAAACTCAAACCCAAACCAAATCTGTTGCCATCGAGTTGATTCCGACTCATAGTGACCCTATAGGACAGAGTAGAACTGCCCCATAGGGTTTCCAAGGCTGTACTCTTTACAGAAGAAGACTGTTACATCCTTCTCCCACAGAGCAGCTGGCTGGTGGGTTCTAACTACTAACCTATTGGTTAGCAGCTGAGTGCTTAACCATTGCATCACCAGGGCTCCTTAGAATCAACCCAAATATCTATAAACTGGTAAATGGATAAACAAAATGTGGTATATCCATGCAATGGAATATTATTTGGTAATAAAAAGAAATAAAGTGCTACAAAATGGATAATCCTTGAAAACATGCTAAGTAAAGGAAGCCTGTAATAGAAGACCACATTGTAGGATTCCACTTCTGTGAAATGTCCAGAAAGACAGAAAGTAGATTACTGTGGTTGCCTAGAGTTGGGAGAATAGGGACTGGGAAGTGACAGCTAAAGGGTAAAAAACCCATTGCTTTCGAGTGGATTCCAACTCATAGCGACCCTACAGGACCAAGTAGAATTGCCCCATAGGGTTCCCAAGGCTGTAATCATTAAGGAAACAGACTGCCACATCTTCCTCCTTTGGAGTGGCTGGTGGGTTCGAACTGCTGAACTTTCAGTTCGCAGGCAAACACTTAACCACTGTGCCACCATGGCTCACAGGGTTTCCTTTCAGAGTGATAAAAAATGTCCTAAAATTGACTGTGATAATGGTTGCACAACTCTAAACATACTAAAAATCACTGAATTGTATGCTTTAAATGGGTGAATTGTATGGTATGTGAATTATATCTCAACGACGCTGTTTAAGAAAAAAAAAAAAAGACAGATCTCATCATAAACCAGAAAGCACAGTATTTCACTTCCACATGCTCTGGTCGCCACCCCAGATCCCTGACAGCTGCAGCAAGGTTCCTAACAACTTAAAGGTAAAACACAGAGCTCTCATTCATTGTTTCAAGCACATCTGAATTTGCTCCTCAGTCCCAAGACCCTGGAGCATCCTACAACCACAGGAACAAAACCAATATTCCTTTCCAGCATGGGGGCTCCTATAGCCACTCCAGCTGTCCTTGGCCTTTGGTGGCATGTCCCAAATTAAGAGAAGGGACCAGGACAGCAGAGAAAAATGATAGAGAATTAAGTGAAAACTGAGAGTTGGGGGGCTCTGGATAGGGCAGTGTTTTAGTGGGGAAATGAGAACAGATTCTTTGGTCAGGAGTGGCAAGCAAGGTTGAGGAGACAGGGAGGAGACACGTGGGGCGTTCAGGAGTCAGCTTTCCTGATGGCGGGGCAGCGGGACTTTCTCTCAGACGTGCTTAGCATCCCAGAGCAGTGAGTGTCGAGAGAGGTCAGGGTAGAGAGGAATGAAGGTGACATCCTTGGGGCCTTCTGGAAAGGCAGAACTGGCCAGGTGGTCTTGTTAAGGTGACAACTGGTTATTCTAAATGGATTATGCTAGAACTCACAAGCGGCACTTTTAGACAACCAGTACAGTTAGGAATTTAAAACCATTCTAAAAACTTGCCTCTGAGAAAATATCTAAGAAAACAACATATAGACGTGGAGAACCATAAAACATAGGAGCAAGAACAAATAAGAGTATTAACTCAGTAGTATACACTGAGCACTTAACTACGCACCAGGCATTGAGCACACTGCTTTCAGAAATGGAAAGCGCTCCTCTCACTTTCAAGTCATCTGGCCCATAACTGGTGTGCTGCCACTCACGTCTCTCGAGGTTTATTTTCTTAACAATTCTGCCTGACCTGCAAGTCTCTATCAGAACCGGACCTCTGTGCTACCAGTAATCAGTGGAATGCAGCAGGGCCCACCCTGAAGAAATCCTCCCAGACTTCATGGAAAAACAAAGACTTCTGCTTAAATCCCAGCACAAAAATCTGTACAGGGTGGAGCCAACCAAAGCTCCGTGTTGACTTTAGAACATCAGAAAAGATGCAGGCAAGCCCCCCAGGTCTTGAAAGTTGAGCTCAGATCCCCAGAACTCAAGAATCAAGTTGCTAGGACCTCTGGAACATTCCCCCGCAGGCCTGAGTCATAGTTTGTCCAACTTCTTCCCCATCATGAATATGACTGGAGGCCTTGGCTCTTATTTCTTTTATCTTTTTGGAAGACAATACACAGAGCAAACATTTAAAAACCACTAACTGCCTACCGCAAAATCTTTGAACTGGCTGTAAAAGTTGAATGCGTACTTTTGTTTTGCCAGTTTCAGATACAAAACTTCAGGCCAAAAATCCTCATGCAATGATTTACTTCATAAAAACTCAGGAAAAAGACACATCAGAAAGTGAATCTTGTGCAGCCCGCACATGCCTACCTGCAACATATCACCGCTTTGCACGAGAGCGCCAAGTCCAGGAAGCTTCTCCTGACCTCGAAGGACAGCGCGTACTTGAGCGTGTGGCCGTCAATGATGAGTGCCACGTCGTTTTCCTTGCCCAACAAACTCCCCAGGTCAGTGCAGTGCTGAGTAATGGCTGCCCTTGTGGCCTGAAACAAGCGTGGGCAGAAAAAGCGCATTTTTTGTGAGTTTGATATAACAAAAGCAAAACAAATCAAAAGTAAGTACCTTGAAATTAAAACATGCCCATTCTAATGTACAATAAACAAACACACTTCAGCTTGGTACATGCATTTGTTAAGATTTCATTAAAATGCTTTCTGGGTCTGTTTTATCAGTGGAAGCACCCTCACACTGAGATCATTTGATATGTACAATTATTCTCTCTGGTTGGGTCTAAGGCTGGTTTAGAACATCCAAACTCCTCTCCATTGCAGCTGTAATTGCTATGGTTCTAATGATTGTCTTTTTCTCCCTTCCTTTGCACTACATGGAGTCACTGGGTGATGCAAACAGGTAACACGCTCAGCTGCTAACCAGAAAGGTTGGAGGTTCAAGTCCAACCAAAAGCCCCTCAGCACCTGACAATCTACTTCCAAAAACTCAACCACTGAAAACCCTACAGAGCACAGTTCTACTTTGACACAGATGGGGTCACCATGAGTCAGAATCAACTCAACGGTTTGCACTAAATATGCATTATTCTTGGTGACCCTAGAAAACAAAACTCTATATAAACAAATGTGGTTTTTGGAAAAGGATAACACTGCTGGAACTTAAGCGGTGAACACTAACATTTCTCAGTTTGCACAAAAACCAAACCTGTTGCTATCAAGTCAATTCCGACTCATAGCAACCCTACAGGACAGAGTAGAACTGCCCCATAGGGTTTCCAAGGAGCGGCTGGTGCATTTGAACCGCCAACCTTTTGGTTAGCATCTGAGCTTTTAACCACTGCACCACCAGGGCTCCATATTTGCACAAAGTAATCTTTAAAGTATCCACAAAATGTTGTTGTGTGCTGTGAAGTCAATCCCAACTCATAGCGACCCTGTAAGACAGGGTAGAACTGCACCATAGGTTTCCAAGGCTGTAAATCTTTACAGAAGCAGACTGCCGCATCTTTCTCCCGTGGAGTGGCTGGTAGGTTTGACCACCAACTTTTTGGTTAGCAGACGAGCGCTTAACCACTGTGCCACCAGGACTTCTTCCATAAGATGTTAAGTGATACAAAAATAACACAAAAGATAAGTTTCTAACTCTGCTGAGATCTTCAGATTAAACCATTCTGTCTGTGCACCATCAGGGTAAGAAACGAGTTGATCATTTTTACACGTTACAGAAAATAGTTAATCAAATTAAACTGCCGATACCTCCCAAAACATTACTTCCAAGCTAAATAAATGTCTTGGTGTAATATCTGTTATCAGGTGGAATTAAAGCATAGAAGCATTTTTATGATTCAACAAAAATGATGTCCTAATCTTCACAGTGAATCTATGACTATGAAAAGGATATCTGGCTCGAATAAAAGAAAGCAGTTTTTGGCTCATTAAAAAGAAATCTGGTTCAGGTTAACGAGAAAAGCACAAAAGTCTGCTGAAATTATTTTGTCTAGATAACTATTCTATGCTATTAAGTTACATATATATGCAACCAATCATATGATAACATAAATTATAGTTTTAAAGAAATAAATACATTTAACGAGCAGGAATCTTTCTATCCTTAGTTAAATTGAGGATCAACTACCATCACAAAGTGAGGTTATACTGTCTTACTGCTCAGAAGTTTATTCTCCATAACAGACTTCTAATAACATTGGAAAGATGTATTGATGGCATCATTGTGGTTTAGAACACTCTTCTGTGGTTACGGCCTGGGTTCTAGTCCCAACTCTCCACTTTTTACCTCTGTGGCCTTGGGCACACACGCACGCACGCACACACACACACACACACACAAAAGAGTTGCCCTCCAGTCAATTCTAACTCATGGCGACCCCACATGTTTCAGAGTAGTACTATGCCCATAGGATTTTCATGGCTGTGACCTTTCAGAAGCAGATCTTCAGGCCTTTCTTCTGGGTGGGTTCAAACAGTCAACCTTTTGGTTACTAGCTCAGCGCTTAACCATTTGTACCACCCAGGGACTCCTGAGCAAGATACTAAACCTCGGTAAACCTCAATTTTCTCATGTGCAAAATGGAGGTAAGGCCACTAACTTCACAGGACTATTGTTAGAGACAAGTGAACTATCAATGTACTCCTTAGGACTGGGCTTGGCACATGGGTAGCACTCAGTAAAACCCACGCTTCTTCTTATTACAAATATTGTACGACCTCACTTACAGAAAATGACAACAGGCAAATATACAAAGACCAAGGTTTATTAGTGGTTACCAGTGACAGGAGGGAGGAGGAGAAGGAGAGGCATTGTTTGGGAAGGAGTGAGTTTCTGCTTGTGGTGATGGGAAATTTGGCATCAATTAACAGTAATGCTGGCAGAAAAGGTTTAAACACAGAAGGAAACATTCTTTGATGGTTATGAGGGTGGGGAGGGAGGGACAGGGGTATTCACTAACTAGATAGTAGACAAGAATTATCTTAGGTGAGGGGAAGGACAACACATACTACAGGGAAAGTCAGCACAACTGGACTAAATCAAAAGCTAAGAAGTTTCTTGAATACAACCAAACACTTTGAGGGACAGAGTAGCAGGGGCAGGGGTCTGGCTTCAGGGGACATGGTTTCAGGGGACATCTAGGTCAATTGGCATAACAAAGTTTATTAAGAAAATGTTCTGTATCCCACTTTGGTGAGTGGCATCTGGGGTCTTAAAAGCTAGCAAGCGGCCATCTAAGATGCATCAATTGGTTCCAACCCACCTGGAGCAAAGGAGAATCAAGAACCCCAAAGACACAAGGAAAACATTAGCCCAAGAGACAGAAAGGGCCATGTAAACCAGAAACTGTATCAGCCTGAGACCAGAAGAACTAGATGGTGCCCGGCTACCACCAATGACTGCCTGACAGGGAACCCAACAGAGAGCTTCTGATGGAACAGGAGAAAAATGGGGTGCAGAACTCAAATTCTAGTAAAAAGACCAGACTTAATGGATCGACTGAGACTAGAGGGACCCCAAAAGACAAGGCCCCCAGACTCTATGTTAGCCCAAAACTAAAACCATTCCTGAGGCCAACTCTTCAGATAAAGATTAGACTGGACTGTGAGACATAAAATGATACGCGCGAAGAATGTGCTTCTTAGCTCAAGTAGACACATGAGACTAAACGGGCAGCTCCTGTCCAGAGGCAAGATGAGAAGCCAGAGAGGGTCAGGAGCCTGCTGATTGGACACGGGAAATCCAGGGTGGAAAGGAGGAGTGTGCTGTCACAGTATAGTGAGAGCAACTAGGGTCACATAAAAATGTATGTATACATTTTTGTATGAGAAACTAACTTGAATATAAACTTTGACTTAAAGCACAATAAAGAGTAATGCTTGTATAACTGATCATAATTAATGTAATTGATCTCTAAGCTGTATACCTGAAAAATGTTGAATTGGCAAAAAAAAAAAAAAAGACCTTATATCAAGGAAAGTACATATCTTTGCTACTAAAGGCAGTGATTAAATACTGTCATTGACAATGACTCCCCTGTCAGTGTAATAATATAATAATAATTGATAGAACAATGTTCTAAGAACAAAAAGTTAAAGGGATTTATTAAAAAAAAAAAAAAAAGCTTGTATACTTTCAATTCTTAGTTATGTAATTCTTCATCTCAAACGCACACCCTGAAAACATCTATGCTTACATTACCATGAAAGCAGCCTGTGCTTTAGAGTTTGGGTGATGAGGAGAAAATCTGCCCCTTGAAAATTTCTCCAATTTAGAGGAATCCCAGCTTGCTCAGTAGTCTGACTGTGCTCACCAGGGAACTCAGACAAGGCGGCCAATTCTGGAGAGAGCGCCTCCAGAGGTCAACTGCACTGAGGAGACGAGGCGGGCAATTCCAGAGAGCGTGCCTCCAGAGGTTGACTGCATGGATGACAGATAAACCTCCAGGAAGTACTTCACCCAAGGAAGGTGCACAGATCTGGCCCTAAGACTTTGTTTCTGTTCTATCATAGAAGCTCATTATGCTCTAGTTCAGTGCCTTTAACTCCCATTGACTTGTGTCTGGAACCAAGGAGCAAAGATTTAGGAGTAAAATATCCCTGAGATGTGTAGACTATTATTTATGGCTTAAAACAACAACAGCAACAAAAAAAAAAACGGGGCACAGCACAAGTGGGGATATATCAAGATGCTACTATTGTGGAGTGCGGTCTCTTTTGCTGTTAGTTGCTGTCAAGTCTGCTTCAACTCATGGTGACCCTATGTACTACAAAATGAAATGTTGCCCAGTCCTGTGCCATCTTCATGGTTGTTGGCATACTGAGGTCCTTTGTTGGCTGCCACTATGAATTGTGAATATCTTCCAACCCAGGGGGCTCAGCTCAGATCCCAGCACTATATCAGACAATATTCTGCGATCTATAGGGGTTTCATTGGCTAATTTTCAGAAGTAGATTGCCAGGCCTTTCTTCTTAGTTTGTCTTAGTCTGGAAGCACCACTGAAACTTGTCCACCATGGGTGACCCTGCTGGTATTTGAAACACTGGTGGCATAGCTTCCAGCGGCATAGCAACATGCAAGGCACCACAGTATAACAAACTGACAGACGGGTGATAGGTGCTCCCTCTACTTGGGGTCATTTCTGGAGCATGTATGGGGGCAGATTGGACATGGAAGTTGGCTTCTTCCCATGGCAGAGGAGGAGTGGAGAGCTCCAGGTATGGTCAGCTCACCACGTATCCACACGCATAGCTCTGGGGGCATAAGTACAGAGGGTGCCACAAAAATAAGTCTAGGAAGATGAGGGGAACTGAGTAAACTATGTCCTTTAGACATTCACAACCCCCTCCACTCCACCCTACTTCCAAGGGAATATGTACAAGGGAAATGCTGGAAAGGGAGCTGGAGTTTTAACAGCTGCAGATGCAGACAGCATGCATAGCAGCTCTTCGTGAGTCTCAAAGGATGCCTATTGTCCCATAGGTGGCCACGATGGGAGACACAAGTCGTATTAGCTGAAAATAAT